GTCCTCCCCCACCCCCCGCGCAGGGACCGGCGTCTCCCGGAAAAAACGGTTGTACGTGAAGCTGCTGCCGCGGGACGTCGCCGGGACGGCCGTGTTCGACGTCAAGCTGAGCTCCAAGAGCAAAGCCCTCCCGCACTACATGAAAATAGGGTAGGGGGGCCCTGCCCGCCCCACCCCGCCCGCCCAAAGCCTCGCCGGGCCGTGGTTGCATTTTGTTTTGTTTTGGTTTTTTCTAGGGAAATAGGTCATTTTGCCATTTGGTGTAAAAAAGGGCCGGTTTTGCCATCCGAGCCCCTGCCGCCCGTCCCCAAGCCACGGACCATCAGCGCCGGCCTGCAGCAGCTCTCGCTCCAGCCCCCTGACCCACCCCAGCAGTACGTAGGGGCTGGTATTTTTTCCCTTCCCCATCTTACCTGAAACCAGTCCAGGACTGGGAATCAATCCTGCAGCTGCTGGTGCCACCCTGTGGTTTCCAGGGCCCTGGTCTGGGGCTCGGTCTCCGCTGCGGGGCCGCGATCTCGGCCCTGGGTGAGGGACGTTAATTGTTCTGATCCGCTTCAGGTCCCCCGGGGCTCGACGCAGCATCAAACGTGCTTCCCAGCACGACGCCACCAACACCTCCAGCCTCTCGGGTAAAGCGTTTCTCCAGCTGGGGCCGCAGGGGGAAGCTGGCTAAGGGCTACTTTAACACCAAAATCCAGGTGGTTCCCAGCCGAGTTGTTCCTTTTAAAGGCTGGAATTGAGGCACGGTTTTAGAGGAAAGTTTCCTTAAAGATTTCATCCTTCCTGGAAGTTATTCCTTGCATGAATTAAGATGTCACTGACCCCTCTGGGTGCTAAGGTGTCCCCTGCCGCTCCTCTGCTTTATGGGGCAATTAAATAAGTGCGTTTTCCAAGCAGCTCCTGGGCTGTTCCTAAGGCGCCTCCCGCTTCTCTCCCCAGCTATGGACGGAGTGCCTTTCACCCTACACCCCAGATTCGAAAGCAAGCTCAGCTGGGGCAGCAACGTGAGTCTCCAAGCTGCTGTTCTTAGTCCTCCCTCAGAACTAGTCTTAATTCAACATCTTTTCTCCTTTTTTTTTTTTTTAGGCTATCCTTGCAGACCTGAACGTGAAGTCACTTGCTGACATTGAGGAGGAGGTAGGGGGGATGCTTTGGCCACGCTCCCTGGGAGCGGCTCGTGGTCGTATTCCGAATTCCTCACCTCCCCCTGCCTTGTCCTGACTGCCTGTCGCTCGTTTTCAGTACAACTACGCTTTTGTGGTCGAAAGGACGGCCGCTGCCAGGCTCCCGCCCGGTGTTTGTTAGCACCGGGGTCCACCTCGAGGACGAGAACCGCAGCCGAACATCCAGCTGGGCTGAGCTCCCGCCTCTCCCGTTAAATTTCTGGGTGCCTGAAGAAAAGCAAATCGATACCCGGTGACGGGAACTGCTTAGGGAGGAAAATAAACCGCGATTCTCTTCTCACCTGCCCAAAAGGCTTTTGTAACCGTTTCAAAATACAGGGCTTCAGGGGCGGCAGCGCAACGCAGAGGCTGGCGGCAGCGTTTGTCCTCCCACGCTCGGTCACCGCCCCAACGCTTTATCCTGAACGTCACCTCCCGCGTTCCTCCCCCCTGCCCCCTCGGCCGTTCCGCTCCTGCGCCGTCGCTTACCACCACCACCACCACCACCACCGCGCTCTCGGCCCCACGAAGGAAGTTCCAAACACGTTTCAAAATACATCGATTCTGATTTTAGTTACCAAATCCTGTAAACGTTTCCTTAAACGTCAGGGCAGTACAAAACTCCCGCCAGTTGGTGGCAACGGCCTGGAAACAGGGAAGAGTCAGGTCTCGTTTCTCCGAGGTGGGTTCCCCACCGTTTGGAAGGAAGCTTCCCCACGCCTGCTTCTGAACAGGGTCAGAGTTATTTGTCCAAAGAACTACGGAGGATTCTCACGATGGCGAAAGGCGGCCCTGGGTGCTGTCCTTCCCGTAGCGCTGCCGGGGGCGAGGACCTCGGGATCCCGTTCAGGAAGGCACTTTGAGTTTTGCGCTCCCCAGCAGAAACTGAAGAATTCGGTCCACGGACAAGGCGAGGAAGAAGTCAGCCAGCAACACTTCCGTGATCACGATCTTGAACTAGGGAAACAAAGCCGACCCGTTAGGCCCTCTCCTCTGCTGCTCCCCCGCCACGAGGCA